TAACGAATAACGGAAATGTCACAGAGGAACTAATGGGAGATTAGCTGAGGAAGAAAAATAATGATCTTTCCAACAAAAAATAAATGAACCCTGTGATCATTTCTGTCACAGTACTAATAGAACTTTTAAACATATTTTGTAGAAATTACTTAATGCTTCATCAATTATTTTCACAACAGGATCAAATATACTGCAATGTTCATATTCTATGCAGAATGAAAAACTTTGTTTACTGCAGGTCCTCAAGTTACTATTTTCTCTGCGATCTCTAGGATGGCTACTGTAGAAGTCTTGTGAAGAACGCATGTAACCAGCTTTCATCAGCGATTTTGAATGATACCTATTCAAACTATTGGCACTGAATTTGTTTCCTATCCTAGTACTATGATTATTGCTTACTTGTAGTCAAAAAGGCTGCTGCTCTGAGCTTTTGCACTAGCAAAACCTGATCTGGGAACTCTAGCAGCCCACCACTGTTTCTCTGTGAGACAGAAAATTTCCATTTCCTATTTATGGACTAATAGCATATGTTCCTTGTGCTCAAACTTATAACATTACAATGCAAGCTAGCAGTTGCTTAAAGCAAGGGCTGGACTACAGCTCTCATGAGAACGTGCTATTCAGCAATACTGAAAAAAGTACTTTTCCTTGCAGCCTGCTGGTAAACTTCTGCTTTATCTTCAGCACTTCAGGCAGGCTTCTCCATCTGAAGATTACTTTTCTTAGTTTCACATAGATAGAGAAGATTCAACCTGCTTGTACTACAGGCTGTGCTGCCTTAAAATATTAAAGACCTTAAGCTATGAAAGGATGTCTTTATCATTGGTCTTTATCATTGAAAATATTGCCCAAGAAATGAACTAGAATTTTACAAAAAATCCATTAATTTGGAGAGAGACTTACAGTGAGGTTTCTGCTTTTGTTTGATGGTATCATGTAATGGAATGCAATGTGATTATCTAACAGCTTCTTGATAGTAGATGGCAGCATCTAATTACGTATATAGTTTGGGTTATTAGTGATATTAGGTGTGAGTGTAAAAGTACTTGTATAGACAGATAAAGCATGCAGGAGATGATGGGGAGCACGCCAAGACAATTTATGCAGCTTGTCCTTAAATGAGAAAGGAAATAAAATTTTGGTTTCACAAACAAAAAACTCATTGACTCACAAAATACATTTTTTGGTGAAACAACCTGCAGATGGATATTACAAATATAATCTTGGGCTCATTGTATGCGTGATTCTAATGCAGACTGGCACCACTATTGAAGTTCTGTAGGAAACAGGCTGTCCAAGAAGTTATAGGATCCACATGTCTGATTCTTTTGACTCAAGGGAAAGAAACATAAATCAGTGCAGAGGTCGATGCAGATAGATTATAAGATGATCACTATGAAGTTCTGGATGGCTTGTGTATGGAAGGAGCAAACAGCTGTGGGGTTTTTCTAATAATATCACTCATTCTGTCATACAGAAATACTTTTTTTTTTGTTTTGTTTTTTCTATAATCAAAAACTGAACAAGGCTTGCAAAACTGTAAGTCTACCCTTGGTGTAATTGGAAAAGCGGTAAAAAAAAAAAAACAACTTATCAAAACCATACAATTTTTAGTTTAAAAGTCTTCCATTAAGTAAAGATGCAGTTCTTTGTATCTGACCTACCTTACCAATGTTAGTATCTCACTGGGAAACTTCTGTACTCTCAACACATAATTCTGTTTTAACTGTCTTATCTGTGAAGCATAATGAATACGATACTAATTATCTTATGTTTCTTTGTCTGTAAAGAAACTTCCAAGATACACTGTTAATAGACCATGATGTGACTTTTAAAACAAATGTTTTATTGCTAAATAAAATTGTCTGTCTTATTTTTGGAGAAAAATTAAGACAATAAAGCTGCCTCAGGGAACTGACAGCTTACTTGAGAAGCATGAGCACAGGTAAATACCTAAAACTGAGACCACAGAAGAAAGCCAGCTCATTTCATTAATTGCTAGGAACCATTTGTGCCTGAACTAGTGTCACATGCTAGAGCTGGTTAGATACCTACCAGTTACCTTTGTTTCCTCTGTATTTTTTTCCATGTGAAATAGATACCTAAAGTTTGTTGTACAATACACTTTGTGTAAAATCCTGACGGAAGCTGCTGAAGCCTGAAGTGTGATCGTTACTGTTCTCGGGCTGGGAGGCTTCCAGTCCTTGAGCTTCTTCACCAAAGGGATTTAATAAGATGGAGTCAATGCTTTGAGTATTTGGTTTCAGCAGTAGTACTGGCTTCAAGGCCTAAAACCTTTTCAGTAGCAGAAATTTAGGGTCCTGAGAAAAGCGGAAGCTCCCACAAAAGGCAGTAGGCTAAGCAGCTCTTCAGCTATTAGACACTTTAAATATTGTAGCTCTGAGGAATTTTAAATTGTATGACCTTACCTATTGATCTGTAAAAAGACCCAAGTACTGCTGCCTGATCAATATAATCTCTCTCAAGGGCAAGGGGAACCAAGTCATGACCAGTAAATCAGAATTTAATTCCCACTCCCTTCCTGGAACAGGTCAGTTATGTGCCATCCATGACAATGCACTTGCCATTAAGTCAGACCAAGTAGGCTGCCACCAACTACACCCAGCAAGCCAACACTGATAGAGTTACATGTTTCAATGAGACTCCACTGGGAAATGGAGCCAGACCTGTGCTCTACAGTTCATTAATCTGTGAAGCATATCCAAGTGTCAGGTGGATGTTTAAAATACTGTACCATATTGCATATTCATTCTAGATTTTGCAGTGTAAAAATAAAATTGAAAATTAGTTAGGATAAATATTTATTTTCACATACATTTTCTTAATTGTGAAAAACACAATAGTCTATTCACATGTACACATAAACTTTTGTAATAAATTACATCCAAGAAATTGAGTAATTTTGACCAGGAATATGAAATAAGTAAATATAGCACTACATTTGATTTATATTGTGTCTGATCTCAGAATGTTAAGATTAACATTGGAATAGCATTTAAATTCAAACCACTCTGAAATACTGAACAGAAATACAGGATGCCATTGAATACACTGATTTCTTAATATTCTAAGAGTTGGTCAAGTGAAACTAATACATTTTGATTGTTTACATTATCTGTAACAAAGTCAGCAACATATTAAAACACCACCAGGCCGCTTTCAGGACAAACCAGTATTGAACTTCTATACTAACCTTAAAACAATTGGAATCTTACAATTTATCATCAAGTACACAAAACAAAGCATTTAACCTTAATGCATCAGCCTTTTGTTTCCTAAATTTACAAATACAAACATTGAGTTAAATTATATTAAATGTGTCCGTTAGATTTATTTTTTCCTTCCATAAAGATGGCCTTTAATGGGCTTCAATAATGCTAAACCAGATTTAGTGACCCTATTAGTTTGAAGCAAAATGCAATTATCATTTATGGCTAAAGTACTAAAACACACACTCAAATGCACAGAAAAAGTAGAAGGAATACTTCAAATGTGCTGGATGTGAAAAAGTTGTTCACAATATGGTCTGTGGAAAGATATTATTTTGGAAAGCTGGGGAATGTTAGAGCCCTGTAGATAAGTTGTTATAAAGATTACAAGACTGTCATTCTTATTTGTAGGATTCAAAGTAAGAGTGTAATAATGAGAGTTAGTTTTCATTTAATCATTTAAAAATTTATCTTAAAAAAAATTTAAAATCAGTGAATTCAAAATAACACAAAACTTTTGCTCCACATCTCTATGAATTCAATACCTAATCTTACACCTTGTTTGACACAAAAGAACAGCTTGAAGGCTCAGACAGTAACAAAATCCATTATGAAAAATATCTTTGTAATGTCTTTAAAGCCACATTTTACTTTGTAATGTATTTATGTTTTAATCAATATATACTTGATGCAATAGTGAAGAGTTGTAATAAAACCAACAGCAGGATATCCATTTAAGTATTACACACAATTAATTTCTGAAATTAAGAGGCTTACCGTTGTTACTAGAGCGAGGACAATATATATAAAATATAAAGCCTTTTTTGTGGCTGTATTTTAGGCAATAAAAAGGAAAAATCATTGGGCAGGAGATATAACTGCAGTTGGGGTATAGTTTGTAGCTACAAAATTTTCCATATTATAAAATGGTTTTGGAACATAATGCAGTTGTTTGGCCTACCACAGCAACATTCATACAATGCAAGATAAAATACTGTAATTGCAGATTGCATTTTAAGAAATACTGTACCCATGTTTCACATTAACGGATGTCATGTTGTTTTTCAGCTAAGGTGAGAGAATGTTTTAATATGGATTTTAAATATATATTTTATATATATATGAGCCTATGTTCCAGTTACATACAAATTTGAATATTAAATACACTGTATTAAATCAAGGAAAACTTCACAAATACAGAATCTGACCCTGCAATATTCATTGCAAGAGTAATCCATAACTTCAAAAGGACAGCTTGAGGAGGAAAGGATTATCCTTGTTAGTTTGTTCACAGGGTCAGATCAGTTGTTACTTTAAAAATTTCTTTAATGTTTGCTTGTCAGTTTGGGTCAACTGAAATCATTTACTTGAGTTAGGTGATTTAAAAAGAAAAAAAAGAAATCGGAACAAGTGCTTCCAAGATCATCTTGAATGATGATTAAGTATTCCCACACAGAAAAAGTAGCAAAATACAGTACAAACCTATTAACAGGAAAGTTGAATTTGAAAGAAACTTTGCTTGTTAGCTTTATAATATGAATACTGATAAACGGCCAGTATCAGCAAAGAACATCAAGATTTTTTTGCATTGGCTACTGCAGACTTTTATTCAGATACTAGACAATGTAGACAAGGTGAAATGAGATAAATATTGCACTACATTACCTGTGCTAGTTTGAGATGAAAGACAAAAGTTACAAGGTCAAATAATTTCTATTTAGTAGTTGTGGCACTCCTTTCATTCGTTTGTAAAAAAAATTGACGCACAGGTCATAGACACGTCTCCCGGTCAATACCTTTCCCTGAGTCAGCTTTCTTCTCTTTTCTGATTTCCACACTAGAAAAAGGGAAACAAAACAATAGTTACAGCAGCACTATCATATATATTAATGATCTACCTGAAAACCAACACTGCACTGATATTTTAAATATTTTTTTTCATGCTGCATAGCACAAACTGGGAAGCAAGTGAAAGTATTGGTACTGAATGGTGCAGAAGACACATCAGCCAGCATTTCAGTGATGAGGTAGGTAGAGAATTTAAGATGTACAGACAGACAATTCAGCCAGCATGCAAGCAAAGATAGCTACTTTTGTTTTCCTTTTTCTTTATTTTTTTCTTTTTAATTTTTCCTTTTCTAAGCTGTGGGGGAGAGGAGTAAATACAACTGCTACCTGATTGAATAATGGTAATAGTACAGTTCTCAGATAATACTAGCATTTGCTTAAATGGCATAAACAAGAGGTAACAAGAAGTATTTCTTGTCTTTAAAATGCATACTGTTGCTCAATGTGCATTTAGAAGGAATGTTTCTGAACTAGAGCAGTGCAAGCCAATTTCCAACTGTAATATTTGGCTCTCAGTCTTAACTGGGGAGAGCAGAAGGTGGCTGAGGGCCTTGGGAGTGACAATAGTCCCCATTTGGAGCTTAATACATACTTCCCTCATGTATATATTATAAGGGAGTAACTTTTTTTTTTTAAAAAAAAGCCTGAAAGATCATACAAAAGCTGTATCGCTAAGAACTCTGAAGCAGAGTTCAAGTTTGGATTCAGCTTTTTTTCCAGTTAAAACATTGTTGATTTGCCTACAGAAAGCAATACATATGCAAAGCAGATGATTTTGGGGTTTTTTTGTGTATCAAGGGTACTAATTTACAACAGCATAAATACATAAAAAGTCATGTTATTGCAATGAGTTTCAATCACACTACAAAAATGCAGAAAGGCTTCCACAACACAGGCAAATCAAGCCTTCAACAACGAAGTGGCAGGGTATCTAAAAAAAAATAGATGGTTCTGAGAACAAAACTGTATCAAGCATATAACCTACCAGGTTTCATGGGAATAATTCCTTAACTAGAATGAATGAGAAACAGGCTGAGTTACACAAGGCTTAAAGAAAGCAAGATCAATTCTCAAACTCTTAAGGTGATTCATGCACAATTTTACAATCATCTGACATTTTTCTTCACATAAAAATTGCTTTAAGGATATGATACAATTCAATTCAGCCAAAGCTTACTTCTATGCCTATGGCAGCTCCCAGAGGTGTTAATGGAAATAGCTAAAGAATACCAACTTCTGCCACTTCAACTGCCAAATCTGTCACCTTCTGTAGAACAGTGATAGAATTGGTTATGTTACACTTTATGCACACAAAGGGTATGCAAACAAATTCCTGGGGGGTGAATTTAAAGTGCAGCAGTACAGCAGGCAGCGAGTTACCTGTGCTTAGTAAAAGCAAACACTGAGGATGTGTTGTGTGCCTTACAGTGTATAATATTTCCACGTTTTAGGTCCCTCTGTGATACCAGGAAAGTCTTCCTTCTATTTAGGATTCACATCTCTGAGCATCTCCTGCAGATGTGGGCTTTAATGCCTTGAGAAATTTGGAAAAAAAAAAAAAGGACAAGTCCAGTCTTTTACCAGTAAAACACATAACTGGTGGATCTGTAAGGGACTTGAAGCTCTCTTCCTTCCTCCCAAGGGAGCAGCCTAACATGCCTGAGACGGAAAGTTTGGGACATGGGATTTCCATATCTTCAGGCAGAGAAAGGAACTCATACCATCTATAAAGTAACAGATGCCTCTTTCTCCAATACTTCAAAAGACCAGCTAGGACTGCCTTCTGTATGGGGTCAGATCTTCTGTGTATGTTTTGAAATTGCTCTCTGCAGGGCTTAATATTATAAGCAAAGACATAGGAATACTTAATTACATGTACCAAAGAGGGCTATGTTTCAGATAGGTGCCTTGGTGTTCAATTCTACCAAGACAGGCTCAAAAGAAGACCTTTAGATCCCTAGGAATTTTAATCATGAAAATTAAGGTTGAAAAATTTTGACATTCAGGTGCTTCTATGGTTAGGCAACAGTTAACTAAGTAACTCTCATTTAAATCCTTTCCTTAGACACTTAAATACTGTTATGAGTCTGGGATGCAAGAACTATCACCCACTATGCTACTCACGTATTTGGGGGCAGGGCAGAGCTTATAATAGATACTATCCATGCACCAGGCAGAAAAGTCACTTGTATAAACCCCTCCTGACTAAAATGTCTCTTTGGAGATGACCTTAGTCAACTCAGTATTTGATTAGTGTGAAGAAATTCCAGATTTTATGTATTCCAGAAACCACCCTATATTAATTGATCAGTACCTTATGTAAAAGGCATTACAGGAAATCATGGTACAGCATCATAATATAATTATCCCCATTTATTAATATTTGGGGATATAAGTGTAAGAAAGTAAACCTGGCAACAGGAAAAGGAGTACTAAACAGTTCTGTAGTTGAACTTCAAAAGGCATCAGTAAAATTAATTTCAAAGCAATGTAATTTTTTTCCCTTATGGTAAGATACCCTTCCCTGAAGGGAACTGTGTAATGTAATACCCATGATCTTGGGCATTTGCAAAAATTATCCTTACAAGAGCTACCATTCCAAGCTTTCTTTTTTCTCAGTACTTGCCTAGGATCTTCATGTAACGACACATGCATTTAGAAATAAGTTTCTTTAGCTCTGTCTCTAACATGATTTAATATTATTGTTGTCTATGGTTTTGCTTATCAGAAAGCAAGCCTTCAGGTTTAAAGTTCCTTTAATCTATTTCTGTCTGGGAATCTGAGATGAGCACATGAAAAAGCAGGATTTCAGATTCTTTAAGAGGTTGCAACAGGGCACTCATAAAACCTGTGATCCCTTGGTTCCTTTTCACCAAAGTCTTTTTTTTTTTTTCATGAGCACAGATACAAGAACAGATTGAAAATGAGCCCATTAGAAAATGAATTTCTATTTTACTGTGGTGGAAAGGCCAAATCATCTTTTACAAATGTTGTCTGATCCACAAGTCTATGTGGATGCTCTTTGCTCCAGGGACCTTTGAAAATTTCAGGTAAACACAGTAGATGTTTACATGATCTATCATACCATCAAAAGAAGCAACATTCACCAGAAAAAAGACGACAACTACTGCATACCCAGTGGCTGTGAATGTACCACATCAGTTTCTTCTCTTTCTCCAGGTTTTCACAGCCTGGACAGCAGAGGCATATAAGATAAAAAAACCCTACTGTACATCCTTCTCCCATGCACCACACTGATTCCACTGTGACAGGATCCTTCTCAGCTGACGTGCAGGGTGGTAGGCAAATCAGAACTATGCTAGGCTACTGTGACTGTCAGTGAAACAGCATCAAAATGGGCTGCTCCATGGGTGTCTGAAATGAAGATTCTGTGGTCATTGGCTGTTCATCTTGTTTATGCTGTTTAGGGAAAGGAACAACACTGAAAGGCAGCATGGCCATTTTGGGGGAACGAAATTTAAAAACTTATTTCACTAGAAATTTTTTTTCTCTTGCTGTATCTTTTCACTATAAAACAATGACTAGCTCTTTTAAGCATGGAGTGTGTCTTGAAAACTGGATTCAGAAAAGGGAAGATACAATTTTCTATTTAAAAAAGGTCAACGAAAAAATTTACAAATAAATTCAGTGTAACAAACTACATCTAAAGGGTCTATTTTTAATACACAATAAATTTCAAATTTTAATATTAAGGACATTAATGAGGATGCTTTACATTCCTATTTGAAATGTCTTTTCATTCTGTCCCCCCAAAAACCAACACCAAGTCAAGTCATTTGGGTTCTCAGGTGACACCATTTTGAATTGGAAGATACAAGCAAGGCAAAGTTGGGAGACAGGGTCTTACCTTTGGGATATCAGCTTCTAGAGTGATTAGAAAAGGGAGCTTATGACAAAAATGTGACAATTAAGTAAAAAGCAGTTAAATTTAAAATTTGTGGAAATAGGAATATTTCTCTTAGAATCCCACTGTGCTTGTATTTATTTTCACACTCCTTTAGTAACTCTGTAGCACAGATAAAACTTTGTTGCTTCATTTCACATTTGTCTGGACTAAAGTTTGTAAGTGTTTAACTGTTTTGAGTACAAGTGAGGTAGGCAGAAAAATGAGAAGTAATGCAATCTTGAAACTATTTCCACTCCAAATATTAGTAGATTGCATTCAGGGCACGGGGTTCTTCATACAGATGCCTCCAGGGCAGTGACGACCGCTCCTTTCTCAAGAGGAAAGACCAAAAGCAAGCAGGACGCACGCAACCGCCGTTGTGCGGTATCCAGGGGTGAGCTGGTGGTTCATTACACAAGCATCAGGCATGCTCAACCTCATTTCCCACTGTAGCATAACTAAGTAGCATGCAAATATTTGTGATTTTTTTTTTTTTAAATCAATAGTGAATTTGTGTTTTGAACTCAAAATATTATTATTGGACATAAGTAAAAGGAAACCTCAAGAAACAAAACTGCAAGATGCCAGAGAAATCTTTTTAATCCCTAGCAAAATATTCTAATATTGGTTTGACACCAATATATAAGGTACAGTACAGTAAGAAAAAATTAAAACCTTTTAGAAGGAAAGCTTGACTCCTTGTCTTTTGCATTCTCTGAGGATATCAACAATGTCTTCCACACAGCAGTTTTTGCCATTTCATCAGAAATGTTTATCACAGATGGGTCATCTCTGGGCAAAAAAGAAGTAAGTACACAATAAAACAATGATAAGTCTTTGTTACTTACTAACTCTATAAAAGCCCCTGTGAACTGATAGTGATGACAATAAGTGCAGTGAAAGTTAAGAAATTGTTCAAATTTTAAAATCCTGAACAATTATTTAAATATTCTCTTAAAACACCTTAGCACTTTTTTAGTATTTTCCTCCTCCAACAGTAATTATTCACAATAACATCAATAAAATACATTGTATCACTTCCAACTAATACAGAAAAATGAGAAACGGTGATACTAGATATTGCCCAAGATCTTGCAGCATGCCAGTGGCATAGGTGGATTAAACAAGAATCCTAAGAGCTCCTGACAGTTCTCAAAGTACTTATGCGCTGAAACTTCACCTGCTTTTAAACCAATTTTAAAAGCCATCAGAAACCTTGACAAAGTCAAAGATTTAAAAGATCTAATAAAAATGTCCAAATTCAACAAGCTAATCAGTAACTTTAAGCAGCACTTTGTAGCCATTATGCCCTTGGCTTTAACTGGACTGCTCCAGATACACAGTTAAGAACAATAAAGTCTTAAAAGTTAAGGGCCTGCCCGTACATCACTCCTGACTTCATGATTTACATACACCTTGACATCCAGTAATCTATCAATAAACCTGTTTTCACAGTGTTTTGGGGATACACTTTATCAGCCAATGTCCTGACTCTTCTTTTTAGCTGTAGGACTGTGACCCTTACAGTACAGAAAGGCAGATATTATCCAGGCAACTCTACCTAAGTAAACACACTACAGATGAGCATAGAACATAGCTCAAGGTAAAGAGCTAAGTATTGCTAATATAAAAAAGAACAAAAAGGTATGTCCAAAAGAAGAAAAAACAGACGATCAAAAGTATGATGAATCAATAGTAAGAAATGGGCTGGCATTTTTCAGAGACAGACAGTTATTTGCCTTCGGAGACATTAGACTAACTTTGTCTTAAAACACAAAAGATCACTCTGAGATCATGTTCCTATGAACTCACATTGATGCAGAGTTTACCATCACCGGATATTTCAAATCTTTATTAAGAACATTCTTTCTGGAAATTGTAAATGAGAATAAGTCCTTACAGATAGGAATAACACACGTGGCCATCCCATGACAGGTTTTCATGCTTTTAAGTTGTGTCAGGTCTGCATTATGCCTTATCTACCCTGGATAGCTCTTGATTCACTCACATACCATCTCACATAGGTAGCATCTTAATTAGAATGTTTTACAGTGTAGCCCTGTAAGAACCTACTGACATTCAGTAAGCATTAGGAATAAATTTTGTGACATGTGTAGTTATTTAATTGCAACTCACCTAAAAGAGGAAAGGTATATTTTACCTGTAATGTCCTTCTAGTGGTAACTGAACAGTCCCTTCCTCTTCCATTGCTAACATACTTTGCTCTTCCTAGAAGGAAGGAATATAGACGTGAGGCAGGATATGATGTTGTGAAAAGTGAAATTTATGTACTTTGTCTTTCACCTTTAAGTATTATCTGAAGTTCTTAAAGTAAGATACTTTTCAGCTTTTTTAATTTAAATATTTGACATTTAAATCCCTTTATTTTAAAAGATGTAGCTTCTCTTAGTGTTATTTTTCAATGACAAATAGAGGAGACACTTTTGTAACAATAAAGAAAGGGAAAAATGAGTAATGCTGAGTTAGCAACTGTATGATGCCTTTTAAATAATGTATAACAGGACATATGCACTGCAATGTTAACATGCAAAAATTAGGCAAGTCAAATTTAAGTGTGCACACACCGCTTTAATAGTGATAAAAGTTTTATGGCAGTGAAAGGTAGTGAAATTACACCAATATTAGTTTTCAATTGAACAGTGAAAAAAAACCAAACCAAAACAAAAAAAACCACACAACCTTCTATGAGTAACAGAGAGTGAATTAGGAGAGATATCTACCAAAAATCTGTTTGCCAAACAAATTTATAAGATCTGTCTTAGGGGGAGGGGTGAAGAAAACAATACCCCTCAAGCACCTTGTCCTGCCTGCAAGAACAAAGGAAAACAAGTCTCTGTCTTCAAAACTTCAACACAGGGGTCCAGTGGAAGATTCTAAAGGCTCACACCCCTGTTGGGTCAGGTAAACTATAGCCAGGAGGTTAATGGGCCTCAATAACATCACACTGCCTCATAATAACATGTTGATAACAACAGTGTGTTATCAATGTTATTTTCATCCTAAATCAAGAAGACAGGACTGTAGCAGCTACTAGGGAGAAAATTAACTCCACTCCAGCTAAAACCAGTTTACCCTGGTGCCTGTTAGAAAGTGTGAGCTGGCTCTCCCACAAGAGAGCTCACCATTTCCTGTCAGATCACCCAAAACCCTACATGTGTCACACACATCTCTAAGTTGGTATTAGCTGGAAGAGCCAGTACAGTTTTTCAAAGTAGCAGAATTTAAGTACTCTCCTATTACAACTGTTTTAAAAGTAACAACAATTTTTTCTCCAAATGAGGGAAGTCACTTTGTTCATTCCCATCTCAGAAAGACTTAACTGATTAATATCAAAGCAGCTTCCCAATGAGATCTGTGAGGAGAAGGCATGTATAATATCCACTATAAATGTACAAAGCCTTGGAAAAACACGGCCTAAAAATAAAAACTACTTATATGATGAGATTAGGATCCAATCAAGTAAGTTTCAGATCTTGTCAACTGTATTTCTGAATATTCTTGTGGGTAGAATATTTCTATTTTTAAGAGCTCTGTGAAAACAACTCTCCAATTAATTCCTGAGGCTACATGTCAGAAGTTTTATTACTAGTTAATTTTGTCATTTCCAGGCTTCACAGCTTCTTAAGTTTTTGACAGTTGAACAGTTTTAATAATAGCTCCAAATATTTAGAAATGCCAAAATATGTAAAAAAAAAAAAAACTCTCAAAATAGATAGTGAATAAAATAAAGTAACACCAGAAGATTTTCCCAATTTTGTTTTCTGATGCCATCCTATCAAGCATGGGAAGGAAAGTGACATATAACCAAAACATAAGGATAACAAGAAATTCTTTCCAATAACCAGGCCCAGAAGAAGTGAGCTACCTTAGTTACTTTTGGTTATTCTGAATTGTGATGACAACAGATACTGCAATGAAACAGCTCTCTGGTCTGCTGCAACTCAAGAGAGAAAACAATGACTCACATACTTTAATTTCAGCCTGGTAGTTTTAGAGGCTCATACTAAATAGTAAATAATCATTGTGACGTTTATCACCTAGGTAAAACCTTTTCCCCAAAACATATTCTATGAAAGTACATTGAATATGTCAAAGAAAGCAAAGTTATAGTTCTCCAGGTTACTGACATGGCAATGAGTTGTCAAAGGTCACAGAAGAATCCTAAAGGCAGAGAAATCTAGTTTTCATAGTTGCATGTTCAAATTATTAGCTCATGTCCTATTTCTGCAAATAGAAAATCCTTGCATACACTGTTTCACTGGCCTCAGATTACACCTCAGAGCATCCCTAAGGATATGTTACTGATCTATCCATTCAGATTGTCTAGTTTTTGCAGTACCCTTGTAGCATCAAAAGGTTTTGTCTCCTGGGTTCTGGGCTTCTGCAGAGGTGTTCAGGGCATCTTAGAAGTCATATGCACAACTGTCCCCAGAGCACTCGTTCTTAGGAATGACCACAGCCTTCCAAATCCCAGTCACCACAGCCTCACACCATGCTATTATTCAAAAAAGCTGATTCAGACACACAACTCCCATTTCAAATAACCTGGTATCGACATATTCTACCTACTGCTCCTGCAGTTAGTGTTTCTCCATTGAGACTTGTCCCTCATTTATTTGGACCTAGTGCTGAGGTTCCCAAACAGTTGACATTGATCAGGTGGCTGATACCGGGACAAAGGACGAAAGGCCTCCATCCCTTCCACATAATGTTACTTTATAATCCCACAGTTTTACGTGATATTCAAACAAGCAATTCATGAAGAAGCAGAAAGAGGAAAATACTATCAAATAGATGCAAAACTGGTTAGAAAGCTACACTCAGAAAGATAGTGTTTCACTGCTAAAATACAGGAATGTTCTGAGTAGAAATGTGTAAGAATCTGTCCTGTATGAAGTTCGTAAGAAATTATCTGAAATTCATATTCTTTGAAAGGAGCTGAGGAATCCAGAACTGAAACAGCCAACCAGGTGGCAGTGCCACAGGCTGTAAGGAAAACTGAGGATTTGATTAACAGGGGTAGGCAGTGTCACTGACCTGCCATTCGAAAGTGGAAGTAAATTGTTCCTGCAGTAGCAGAAGGAAGATGATAGCCCAGAGTGTAACAGGAACACTGCACAGGCTTATGACACTGTTGCCTGGAGAAGGCACAAGGTGATGGCCTATGACCTGTGTATGGCTCAGATGTAGCTGAGACATGCCATGCCCTTAAATTCTGCAGTGCCCTCCTCAGGATCTGTTCTGCCAATGACGAGGCCCAACAAAAATGATACAGCTAGCAGGAAGATGAACCAATACACAGACTGTATTGTAGACAAAAAGGACATTCCATGAATGATCGCTGGGGGTACATACAGATCAATCCCTGGTACATGATCAACGCCACCCCCAACGATCTCACAAAAGACATGACTTGGCCCACAACAGGTGGTATGAACAGAGAAACAAGGTTTCCCATAGTTGGCATGGGAAACGGCCAGACCACCAAGTTAAATACATAAGAAAAAGGTGCCCACATGGCAACTCTCACCCAATCCGCCCGCGTTCGCAAAGGTCTAAACAGACCAGGGCCCAGCTCCAGGAGAGTCAGGAGGTCTGCCCTGAACCAGGAAACTCTGTGGAGTGCACTCCACAGACAGACACTCCTGACTCCCTGCAAGTGGTCCCAGCTTTTATCCCCAAGCAGACACCTGACCTTTGTTCACTCAG